AAGTGTTACATCTGGATAATTCTGTACTAATATACATTTAAAATGCTGAGCCTGAGTAAAAGTAGAATAGTAAAAGGTGTGGCTCCAGCCGATGGTGATGCAGCCTCCTGGCCACTGAAAGAATGAAGCACGGATCTAGTTTGCAGAAACTTATACTTCCTAAATTGGATAGTATGGCCAGTCTAGTTGCTGTTTGCTACTGAAAGACTCTTCCTTAGTGCCAGCGCTGGTGATGGTCTTATGCAGAGCAATTCACTGTCAGAAAAGTATTATTTTGTCTGCAAAGTTAATTGTCAGGTAGTTGAGCTTCCTGGCATGACTTGCCTTGGCACACAGCAAGCCCCAGCACCAGGGCAGGGAAGGGGATGGGAACGGGCAGAAGCGAGTGGCATGGGGCAGTTGGATGTGGCCTCCATGTCAAGTCTCAAGCGGTTTCTGTAGGGTGCAGCTATCACTGAGTAAAGTATCTGCAGCTTAGGCATTTTTTTGCTGAAAGGTACATTTCTGGACTTGCACCTCCAAGTACTTACTGACTATCGATGGCTGTATGCATGTCCCAAGTCTATTGTTCAGTGCAGAGTCAAACAGATTAACTTAAACCATTTTGAGTGGTGATACAAGCTCACTCGTCTACCCTACCCGAGGACCTAAAAAGTTAAGTTTCTCCTTACTTCATGTGTATAGCTATATATCACCTGCCATGGAGACCAGATATAAAAATCAGGCTTGTTAATATGCATTGTATTCCTTTCAACATGTGTTTGCTTTGCCGTGGTGTGAGCGCGGAGAAGTAAATCCTGTGCTTCTGCCACCCTCTTCCAGTCCTGAATCTCTGTGTGCTGCCTTGCCATCCCGGGGCAGATCTGATGCCGATTAGCTAAACTGTCCTCAGAGGTTATTTTGATGAGGACAGATTATAGTGTTTTCTTTCCCTAAATATTTTGTGCAAAATATTTAGCTTATGGATAAAGATCACTGTTCCCTGGCCACACAAAGTAAGCAAGGATCAGGCGTTCCTCTTATGCTCTTAGTAGAGCGGGAGGAGCTGCATTCCTTAGCACTTCTTCCCGTGCTTTCAGGTAATTTCTAAGCAAGTAAGCTGCTTTAAAACCGCTGATGATTAGACGTGGTTCTGTCCCTTCCATTCAGTCTTACTTTATGAAGGCTGAACAGAAAGAGAAACAAGCAGTCCAACTGAGTTGTTCAGCTGGAGATATTTATTTTCTTGTCAGTTATTTTTGACACTTACACTTGGGAGGGAAAAAAAAACACTAAATGCTTTAGTTACTCGAGGAGCCAAAAAAGAAAACTCTTCAAAATATTGATGCAAAATATTCCAGTTAGTTGTTTCTTTAGAATCTCCTTTGCCCTTCATGAGCATATTGAGTCTAGCTACTGGATTCGGTTGTACAAAAACTGCATCTTTTAGCGAGTAAATGACTTGACAGGCAGTGCTGTGGTATTTGCAAGTCACAAAGTCCCTGCAGCCCAGCTTCGTGCATGAACTCTGTGGGAGCTGTGTCTCTTCCCTGGGTCTGAAACACCAATGAGTCTGCTACTTTTTTTTCTTTTTTCTTTTTCTTTTTTTTAATTTCCATATAAAGCAATAAATAGCTAAAAATAAGTACTTTACTTTCTTTTTCAATAATGAATCTGTGCTTATGGCCTTATACTTAAAGAAAAATTTGAATAAAATTTTAAAAACAAGCTAGAATTTTCCATTTAAAGCAGGGGAGGGAAGGAGGAATATCCTGGAATAAAGATCATTCAGATATAATTACAATCGGTTACCTGAACTAAGCTTTTCCGCTGGTACAGCGTCTTCTTCAGAGGTGAAGAACTGCAGCAAGAAATACAAGAAGTTTTGGAGGTTCAGGAGGCTAGTCTTTCACCCCATAAATATTCTAGTCTGGTAGATTTTCATAATACTTTATGCTAGCATCTCTCATAGCAGTCTTGTCTCTTGTGTCACATCAAGCTTTCATGATTTTTTTCCCCCTTTCTTTCTTGAAGTGTATGTACCTTCCTGATAACACAAAGAGCATCCCTAAAGTCTGAAAATAAAGGTCAATACATCTCGTAGAAAGGCATCTCTCTTTAAGAGAAATAATGAGATTTGATGACTTATATCTGGTAAAAGCCATAATGGATCTCTCTAATGCTAGCTCCCGCGCTGCAAGCGTTGCAGCTGCTTGCCAATTTAATAGCGTGTGTGTGAGGTGTTACTATAGGGGTAATACTTGCTCACAGAGTTGCAGGGATCTCGCAAACAGGTAATCATCTGGAATTGCTGTTTCAGGGAAACTCTGTTAATGCTATTCAGTTTTTTCACTTTATTACTATATATATATGCAAGAGACCTTCATTTCTATTGCATTTTCAGAACAAGGTTTTAGAAGCTTTTAAAATTCCTATTGCAATGCCTAGTCTGTTTACAACATGGTGTATGTATTTTGTAACAGTTGGAATAGTTTTTAAAGGCCTTTAGTACAGGAACTTGGACTAAATTTTCTGTAGAAAAGGTATAGTTTCATTCTGCCCATTTTTCCGTTAAGATATGGCAGTAAAATTACTGAAGATTTTAGACATATTACATCTGTTCTTTGAAAGAGAACAGCATAAAGACATCAAATTACTGTTCTAGTACATTACATGCTGTAGTGTATATCTGCTGAAATTGGTTTTATAGAAAGTACTTTTTCTGAGTTGATGTATTTTAAAAATACTAACTTTTTTTGGATCACACCCTCACTGAGTGGTGGAATAGTGCTAATGGTCGCCTCTGCTCTTCGACCATGTGGACTTTCCCTGGAGTTTGGGCTTTGGGGAGCAGGCTGAAGGCTTCCGAGACAAAAGTGGAGAAGTGCTTCGCTGGTGGCTGAAAAAGGAGGCGGGAAAGTCATATCCCATGTACTTCCTATTGCTGTCCAAACGGAAAGGGTGGGGGGAAGGGAAGGGTGCCTTGAAAAGGGTGACAACTAAATACACCTTTCTTACTTTCCTGGTGAAAATGGAGACTGGGAAGAAATTTTATCTCTGCGGGGTTTTTCTGAGCTATATTGCCAGTGTTGTTCTTGGAGTAGCAATAGGTCTGTCCCCATGGGATCCTAACCAAGTTCATAGGTGGTGGTCTTCTGAATGGCAGTATCATGAATTATAAAAGAGATGCATTAGGTGGAGAGAATGAGGTATGGTACATCATGCAATTGCTATGGTTGTTTTTGGCTTACTCTAATGTATCTGAAAGTACTAATGCAAGACAGATCTTTATATAGTCTTTGTTTTACAATATTCACCAAAAAGTGAAGACTGGAGATGATTGTTTCTAGAGAAAAAGAGCTTCTGCATTCAATAGAGATACCTCAGGCTTTCCAAAAATTTTCTGGCAGCATTTCTGCTCATTAGATATCCTTGGTATCTATATAATGAACTTATTTGTTTTTCCACTAACTACCTTGCATTTTTAGACTATATGTACTGTTGTCTGGAAGAGTAATGGGATTTTTTTTTTTTGTGATGAGAGGTATTATTCTTTCCTACTTGCCTGTTTTTTTTTCTTTTGTTTTTTTTTCCTCTCTCCCTCAAGCCTATGGTTTTCGTGAGATCATACTTTCTTACTCTGCACAAGACCATGAAGTTTTTTTCTTTTCTTGGAACTCTCCTGATAAATTGAAAGCTTCTCATAGTTTTGAAAATTGTCAATGTTAACAGACCCTAATGGCCAAGGACTAGAATCAGCTGCAATCGCAGGACAATTAGGGCAGGAAACGCAGACAAAAGGCTTTATTTTGCCAAATGGAGTGTTGTTTGAAAGTGTTTTTCATGTTTAGGATTTATATTGTACATTAAACTACTGCTTCTTTTTCTACAGACTGTTATTTTATCCCCCTTTTCCCCCCTAGTGGTGGACTGACTTGAACCTCTGGATTTTTGTTTTTTTCCACTTGATATTTCAAATGCCAAGAACCCTGGCAGACGTTACTCCAAGTTTGATGTTGAAAATAGATTGCTCTTAAATTTTAGCTCTTTCAGAAAGCTGAATTTTTGTGCCTTCTCTTGATTTTAATAACTCAAAGACACTGCTTGTAAATACGGCAGAATAGCATTATGCCAGAGCTTCCTTTAGATTTATTCCTTTGGCTTTGCCAGAACCTTTATCTATATTGCAAGCTGTCACTTCATGTCTAAGTCAGGTAATTAAATCTTCAAATCAGATGTGCCTTTTTTATTATAAATATAGTTTAAGATTTTATGGTTTCATAGAACCTTGGGGAAGCAGCTGCAGAACACCTTTTAGAGAATAGGCCAAAACCTCTCTGAAATTTTGGGTTGTAAAGTTACATTTTCAGATTTGGACTCTTAAGTCATGGGCAAAAAAGAAAACTGGCAGCAGTGAGTTAGGTGTACTTATGTCCTAATTGCTGCAAGTCTCTTTATGGTCTGACCTAGAGCCCTTGGTCTGGGTTGCTTGCCAGCATTTAAATAAAACACTAAGTGCTGAAATCGCCCTTTTTCAATAAGCTAGTTGAATAATGCAATGTATATCTGAAATGAAAATCACTACCTTTCTAATGTGTTGGTAGAGCTGTTGTAGTCGGTTGTTTACTCTTGGGAGAGTGTGGTTCACTTGCCAGGCCTGTGGTTCAGATTTGGCAAAGGTGAATGAGGGGCTACAAGAGCCTTAGACTCCTGGTCCCACTCCCTTCTTGCAAGGTTGGGAGCCTATCCACAATTCTCAGAGCTGAAACTGGCTTTTGTAAAAATGCTTAGTAGCAAAAAAAATTGTTTTGATCTTCATATAATGTGTGCATGTACATAGTATCTGTCCTTTTAAAGGACAGATTCCAAGTTTGGAAGATTCATCTTAGAGATACTTACTTCAGAGCTTGAAGCAGGTGACAGAGATGGAGCAACTGTCAGAGTAGGGTGGAAAGGGGCCTCCCCTGGGGCTGGGACAGTGGTGACCTTGGCTGCTGCAGGTGTGCTCTGCTTAGAGCACTATGTCCCCAGGTGAAGGACTTGTGGGAGAAGGTGAGCAGGCTATGCATCATCTGGGAGGACAAGCAGGAGATCGAAAGGGTCTTGGCAGAGACCCCATAATGCCAGCAGCTCAAGCCCTGCATTGCAAGAAAGGAGGGGAATCTGGAGGACGACCTTCAAAGGAGCAGTGGATGGAAACTTCCAAGGTGGGGGAAGCTTGTCACTACTGTTGTCCTATCTAAGGCTCCTTCTATGGTTCTGCACTCACAGGTACAGAGCCCTGGAAACATGTGAGGAGGATGCCTACCTTTTGGAGGGGTGAGGGGGTAGGCAACAGAGCCGGCTGAGCATCAACCAAGTGTCCACACAAGGAAAAGGAGAGTGATAGAGACTCTCCTTTGCCAGGGATGGAGGCACTGGCTGGCCTGACTTGTTATCTTGGGTGCTTGAATTTGGGATGCTGCAGAGACTTTTCCAGCCCTCAGACTTACCCCTTGTTGCTCATCCATTTGGGTACCAGTGGTACTAACAGGGGAGACCTGGCAAGGAAAATGTGGGCTTGTTGCTGAATGGGGCAGATGACTTAGTGACAGAGGACAGAGATAAGGCTGAGACACTAAATGCTGCCTTTTCCTTAGTCTTCACAAACAAGGTCTGCCAGGCCTCTGCCCCTAGTAAAAGGGTTCAAGGAGGGGAGTAACCAGCAGTGGGTGAACACTTTGCTGGGGTGACTGGAGAACTCAACCGCTGTGGGTGCATAGGACAAGATGAGGTGTGTCTGAGAGTGTCACTTACTGGGGCTGTAACAAAGCTTCTGACGCTGCCAGTGTTCTCGTATCCAAACTGGGCAGTGCTGGTTTGGATGGGTGGACAGCTAGATGGGTAAAACGCTGCCTGGATGGCAGGAGTTGGAGAGCAGTGGCTGTGGGTCCGATCAGCCTGGAGGCCAGCAGCAAGTAGAGTACTGCAGAGGTCTGTCCTGGGACGTGCCTTGTTTCACACCTTTATCGGTGACCTGGAGGAGGTGACAGAGTGCTTTCCCATCAAGTTTGCGGGTAACACCAAGCTCAACTGGTCGATACAGCCAAGGGCAGGGCTGGCATCCAGAGGGACCTATGCCGGCTGGAGCAATGGGCTGGCATGAACCCTATGGAAGCCAACAAGGACAGATGCAAAGTCCTGCCCCTGGGCAGAAAAAGCCCCCTGCAACAGGACAGGCAGGGAGTGGGGGGCTGGGGAAGAGCTCTGTGGAAAAGGTCCTGGGGGTCCTGGTGGGCAGCAAGCTGAGTGTGAGCCCACAGGGTGCCCTGGGACCAGCAAAGTCCAACAGCACCCCCAGCTGTACTGGCAGGAGCACAGCCAGCAGATTGGGGAGGGGATTGTCCACCTCAAGTCGACTGTCATTAGACCACATCTAGATACTACATCCAGTTTGAGGCCCCAGTACAGGAAAAACATCGATAAACGGGAGGAAGCTCAGGGGAGGGTCAGCAAGCCGGTCAGAGGCTGGAGCACTTGACCTGTGTGGAGAGGCTGCGCGGTCAGGGCTTCTGACTTCTGCCTGACACCCCCTTCTGCCTGGGGAAGGGGTGGCTGTAGGGAGCCCCCAGTGCCCCTGGGGAGGCTATGGAGAAGATGCAACCAGGCTCTTAACTGCGATGTGTGGTGGGAAGATGAGTTACCTCCGTAGGTTTGACCCTTCCTGGAAGGTCAGCACGAAGACTCCTATACCTTGTAAGCCCAGTTTTGAATAGCTGTGTGAGATTAAGACTGTGTTGTTCAATTAGTGTTCTGCAGAGAGCAATGGTTTGTTTATCACCTTTTAATGTAAAGAATGGGATGGTGTTTTAGGTACGTGCTAGCAAAAATAAAATCTTAAGATCTGCTACGTGGTGCATCTGGTGTTTTTTCTTTTTTTTTTCCTCTTTCACTTTATAATTGTTGCTTATTATGAATAAAGTAGACTAAACAACATTAAACATATGCTGAAATTTTCAATGTTAAGTATTTTTTGTTTTGTTTTGTTCTGCAGTTTTCATTTTATAGTCCTGTGGCTGTGTGGGCTGGCAGTAAGAACCCAAGAACAAAGATTTACTTCTATTATTAACTTTTTAATGTTTGTTTATGAAATACAAATGGGGAAAAAAGGATAACAGTGTATAGAGATTCTCAGTGAACATTTTCCTCCTGAAGATATTGGTATTAGAAATGTCCAATTTCCAGATTATAACAGAAAACTACAACTTCTAAGTATATAGGTATGAAGTTACGAGTTTGCATTTTAAAATGCAGTCTGGATTTGGCACAAGATCTCAGATGGAAACCTCCTGCTTAGATGATCAGATTTACAGACTTTAAGATTCAGTGATCATGCAAAGGGTTTAACAACTCTGCTGATATGAGTGTTAAGGGAAGAAATTAAAATGAAGTGAATTGATGATTCATTTGGTTACGCTCTGGGAGAAGACGAGACATTTTCTAATAATTAATTATCTAATTTAAAGCCTCCCTGTTTCTTGGCTGAAGTAAGAAATTAGATATTTTGTACAGGAAAGCAGCTGATCTTTAAAACTAATGGGAAGTGCTATTATATTTTTCACAAAAACTATAGGCGTTTCAATTCACTGGGCTCTGCCTACAGAAATTAGTTTTGAGGAAATTAGCCAGTAGAATGAATGCATGCTACACTGATTTATTAATAAAACTGCATGTAAACAGAACTGATCGGTATATAGCAATCTGCATAAGAAGAGTAATAAAATATGTATTAATTAATGTCTTGATTATTGACCATTGATTTTGAGCTGTGTTTCTCTTAGTTCCATATGAAGTGTTTCTTCTACTTGAAAAATGAATAAATGTAGGTCATATAAGCTGAGCATTTCTGGGAAGTTTTCACTGCCTTTGCTTTGATTGCTTTCATTAGAAAGTGAGAGTGTTCACTAGAATTTAGAATTAAAAAAGGCATAATCCTGCAATGCAGTGAATTCTGCAAAATGTGCTATGAGATGTAAACATCAACACTTTCTCACAGAAGTCATCAATCTGAAATTATATTTAGTGTTAATGTTTAGATTCCTGCATGTTTTCAGAAATATTATCTCCCAGCCAATTGTACATCAGTGTGAGATCCCAAAATTAAGGGCATACCATCCAGTTGAACCTTTTCATTTGGGTCCAGAAACAATAGCAGTGCTGCTGGTACTACGTTGGTGGCATAAGGTGTACAGACAGGTTAGTGTATCTAATAGAACTGTTACTCCTACATAGTGCGTTTGACTGCAATAAGGTGACTATTTTTATTATTGTTGTTGTTGTTGCTTTTTCCAAGCCATTGGCTTGATTTTTTTCCAATTGTGCAGCTATCCTATTGCTGCTCCTATGACTTCTATCTACAGTATGAATTTGTTTTGCAAATATTAAGGTTTCCAATTGGAGTAAGAAGCCTCTTTCTCCTTTTGTAAGAAAATACAGTGAATCACAGCAGAACCAGTGCCATGGCACAAGGTTATATGGCAAGTCTTTGAAGACCATGGTTAAATTAAAAATATCTCACTGGTTTTAAGTACCTCTGCTCTCAGTGTCCAGGGACGTACCACCTGGAACCATTGTACTATATATAGATGACTGTACAAAACAAGAATCTCAAAACCTTACAAGCCAGGAATAAGAGAAAATGCTGTTTGAACACAGATAGATCAACACGCAGCCTAACGAATTGTGGGGCAATAATGGTCAAAGGGGCTGTAGTATTAGTGATTCTCTGGTGTAACTAAAGGTCAGCGCTGTGGTGCAACAAGGCAAGTTTTAAGGAAGAGTTTGGAGGAGAAGAAAAAAAAGGCAGCTTTCTTGAACTTCTCAAGAATATCTTTCCAAGGATAAAGGGCAACATAGAAGAGAACGAAACACACAGTCCTTTGGTGTTGAATTTTCAAACACATGGCAGGTTCAGCTGGACTTCTTGCTAGTGAGATCCTTTTCAAGAGCTTTAAAAATAAAGAGAAGTGACGTATGTTTGGTGTGATGGGAAAGGGTGAGAAAGTGGAGGTATGAAAGGAGAGGAATGATCTAGTTAAAGGAAAAGGCTTGTGTGACACTTTGCAGTAGCATTTGGAAAGTCACAAGCTGTTGCATTTCAGAAAGCATGAGTGAAAGATGGAAAAGTAATACAAACTCAAGCAGATGAGAACTTGTGGTGGTTAGCTGTACCAACGGGTAGGAAAGGCTGTGTCTTAGGGAAACAGGAAAATTAAGGAAAAATGGCAAAAGGTCAACCAGGCAAAGCTGCTGCTCACTCGCCCCTCTTAGAATCCTACGTGGCAAGCAAAATAATAGTGGTCAGCACCATAATATTGTTCTTTCTACTATAAAAGCTTTTATAATTCAGTATCTTTCACTGGGAGAAACTGAAGGTCAGTGAAGACTTTGAGCGCTTCTCAGAGAAGCTGAAGATTAAGGCTCAGATCCTTGTTCCCTTTTATTCAAATGTGTCCAGCCGTCCAGAACTTCTAGTGCATTGGGAAGAGCTCTTCTGTCTGGAAGAAAAAGCTGTGCTGTCGCCACATTGTGCTTGAGCTGACAGACAGAGACTGAAAGGGGAGTCTTGAGCAGGAAATGATAAATCTGTAATAGACGTTTTGGAGAAGAAGCTGAATTCATTTAAGTTTTAAGCTCTAGTGCATGGTTTTTCCTTAAAGAAAAGGATTTGCAGGGGAGAAATCTTGGTCTCCTCTCTAGAATGAGAGACATGAGGAACTTCTGAGATGCCTTTACCTTCCAACCTGTCATAGCCTCTTTCTTTGTCCTATTTGCAGAATCTGTGTGCTACCAATGGAAGATAAGGAGCTATGCGTTTTTCTTGAGCTCCCACTTTCAAAATATTTTAGGTGCTTCATGCTTAAATAGTATTAAGAAAACTGTGTCTATTAACACTTAAAAATAGTGGAGCATTAAGAAGGAAAGCCCTTGGGGAATCTCTTGCACAAACTGAGGAAGGGATTGCATGTTCCGAGGACTTTACATTAATCTCCTTGATTCTTGAAACAGATGAAGCTAAGTTTTTATTTCTTCTTAAAGATTAAAAAAAAAAAAAAAAGCCTGGTCTTGAACTATAGCAAGAGGTGAAAACAGATTGAAAGGTATAGATTTTTTTTTTCTTTAACCTGGCTTTTTGGGGAAAGGGGATGAGGAGACCTGACTGAAACAT